CCAAGAAATTGGTCTTGGGATTATTTCAATACCTCTAGCTCTACTTTATTGTTCAGTGATCCAAGCCTTATCTGTCTACCAGGTCCTTTACTGTAACTGAGGACCAAGTTCAAATACTGCTGTAATCAAATCTTTCTAGTCTTTCAGGACAATTCTGTTACTAGTTGACAATGAACATCTGCTTCACAAAAGATGAATGCATACCATATGATACTACCACTTCCTTAAATCTCCTCAAATCTAACATTTCTACAAGATTCCTGGGAGCACTTCAATAGCTTTGGGTATGCCTGTCATTTAGTGGTTGTTTAATATGGTGACTGGAAAAATTAGGATTTCTTGTTGGATAAACTTTGGCTGTTCCTCTCTAATTTTATAATGTGGTGAGATTTGTTCACCTTTAAATTCCTCTGAGTATTTCTAAGGTTTGCATATTTTCAGTCACCTTTTTGTTCTCTTCAGCAATAAACTGAGCTCTGTGTGAGCTTTCTATGACTTCTGCTAATTACTACATTCTCTAAAAGACATCATTCCCAGGTCCTTCCCAGCAACAAAATCTCTTTTGGTGTTCCACTTTTTTTTTTTTTTTTGGTTTTTCGAGACAGGGTTTCTCTGCATGGCTTTGCGCCTTTCCTGGAGCTCACTTGGTAGCCCAGGCTGGCCTCAAACTCACAGAGAGCTGCCTGGCTCTGCCTCCTGAGTGCTGGGATTAAAGGCGTGCGCCACCACCGCCAGGCTGGTATTCCATTTTTTGTTCTAACTTGCTTTTCTGTTGATGTGATTAAATCCTCTCATCAAAATCATCTCAGAAAAAAATCATCTTAGGTAAATTTATTTAGCTGATTTTGTCAAATCACAATCCATCAGTGTGGGAGCTTAGAACAGAACATGAAAGTAAAAACCATGGGCAAACATTGGTTCCTGGGCTTCTCACTTGCGTTGTCACTGTCCTGTGTTCAGCTAGCTCCCCTACCCATCCCAGGCTAACTTGCCTAGATATTGCCAACTCACTGGAAGAACCTTTCCACATCAATCACCAATCAACACAATCTCTTACAGACACAGAAGTTCCTGAGTATTATGAATAAAGCAGCTTTGAACATAGTTAAGCACATGTCTTTGTGGCAGAATGGAGAAGCATTTGGGGGGTATATGCCAAGAGTGGTATAGTTGGGTTTTGAGGTAGATAGATTCCCAATTATCTGAGGAACTGCCATGATGATTTCCTTAGTGTCTTTACAAGTTTCATTCCCACCAGCAGTGGAGGAGAGTCCCCCTTGTTCCACATCTTGGCCAACATGAGCTGTCACTTGTGTTATTGATCTTAGCCATTCTAACAGGTATAAAGTGAAATACCAAAGTAATTTTGATTTACATTTCCTTGATGGCTAGGATTGTTGAACATTTCCTTAAGTGTTTCTCAGGCATTTTAGATTCCTCTATTGAGAATTCTGTTTAGATATGTACCATATTTATAATTGGATTATTTGGTTTGTTGATGTCTAATTTCTTGAGCTGTTTATTATCCTGAGTGAGGCAACCCAGAACCACGTAGAAAAACATATTTACTCACTTGTAAGTGGATATTAGTTGTCAAGTTAAAAATAACCACAGTACAATCCACAGACTCAGAGAAGCTAAGTAACAAGGATGGCTGTAGAGGCAGAGGAATGCATGGATCTCCCTGGGAAGAGGAGATAGAATAGATTTTGTGGGTGGACTGGGAGCAGGAACAGAAAATATCAAGTAAGAGAGGGACAGAGGGAGAGAATATAGAAAAAGGTGAGTGCAATAGGGGAGTGCTTAGGGGGTGATGTGGAAACCTAGTATGGTAGAAACTTTCTGGAATCTATCAGGATCTCCTGATAATCTGGATTTCATCTGGAGTCACTATCACCCAGGGACACTAACTGAAGCTTTTGAAGGCATTAAGGAAGTAGAATATGATGCCATTCAGACAAGTTGATCTTCATGCCTCCAAGTTCCTTCTCTCCTCACAGGAGGCATAAACTCCAGCATGGTACACCTAACCTGTGTCCTTGTGGGATCTCATGACTGCCTATTCACATTTGAGATGAACCCAGTCTTGTTGCTTTGGTCAAGCTGTCAGTCATTTTTTAATAACTTGTCAGTTTCTCTCCTAATAATTTTTGTACTCTTCCTGCATTTTGTGTAGATTTCTGTTGTAACATTGTTTTTTATTCTCTTCAGGGGGCCCATACCAAGCTCCCAAGTAAACCACACATGGAGGCTTATTCTTAATTATGAATGCCTGGTCTTAACTTGGCTTAGTTTCTAGCCAGCTTTGCTCAACTTTAGATTATCCCATTTACCTTTTGCCTGTGGGCTTTTCTCAATTCCTTACTTTTGTAAATCTTACTCTCATACCATGGCTTGCTATGTAGCTGGGTGGCTGGCCCCTGGAGTATCCCTCCTTCTCTGGCTCCTCAAACTCTCCTCCCAGATTTCTCCTCTATATATTCTCTCTGCCTGCTAGCCCCACCTATCCTTTCTCCTGCCTTGTTAATTGGCCATTCAGTTCTTTATTAGACCATCAGGTGTTTTAGATAGACACAGTAACACAGTTTGGCAGAGTTAAACAAATGCAACATAAACAAAAGTATCACACCTTAAAATAATATTCTACTACAAATTTAGGTTCAGAAACATTTTACGCACCAAAGTCTGTTAATTTCTGATGCTATCAATCTTTTATTTCTTCTGGATTATCAGGGCTGAGGTAAAGATGAACTTAGGATCAGTCATTCTCACTTTACTGCTATTAAGACAGCCATGGCTGTCCTGAATCACATTATGTGAAATAATTCGACCTCAAACTCAGACAGTCTGTGACTGTCTCCCAAGAGCTGTGGTTATAGGCATGCATCTCTAAGCCAAGCTGAAATATGTTTTAAAATGGCCTATCTTTGAATCAGAGAATTAAAGGATAACAGTTTAGAAAACAAAGAACTAGGAATGTTTTGGTGAACAGTAATACTTCTTGAAATTGGATAGTAATAATTTGTCAAATCATTCCACATGTTCTCAATAATTGGGTTATTTTCTTCACTTTGTTAATTTTTTTCCATTAAAAAATGCTTAATTTGTGTGTTTTTACCTGTGCTTGTTGTATATGTGGCAATGAGAGGACATTGTACTTAAATGTGTCTATTATCTACTTCTCTTTTATGAGTTTTAGAGATGAAACCCATAGTGTTGTTTGGCTGCAAGTCACCTCATGTATGAGCTGTTGTGGGAGTGTGAATATGCCACAGCCCAAGTTTAGATATAAAAGAAAAATTTCTAGAAGTATTATAGGTTTCTTAGAGATTGAATTCAGGTCATCAGGCTAAGGAGCAACCCACTTTATCAACTGAAACAATTCTCTGGCATTCATGTTTGGTTCTGAGAAAGTGTTATGAAAAAGTGTTTAGACTTCAGAATAAACTAACACATTCCAAAAGAAAGTGATAGCAGTATATAATTTTCATTTGCAAATAGGATTTATTATTCAAATTGTCCTGATTTCCACTATCCTTGGATGAAAGTATGTTTACAATCTGAAAAGAAGACAATTTTTTAATGATATAATGTTTCAAATAATCTTATTTGAGAATCAGTAATACATCTCAGTGGGAAATGTCTGTGGTGTGTGAGACTGGCAAATTCATCTTGATCACTATATGTCTAAGAAAAAAAGGACACCCCACACAGTTGTCTCCTAGTCTCCACATATGTGTCATGGCCCCCAAACCATAAATCCTATTACACACACACACACACACACACACACACACACACACACACACACACACAAATATAAAAACCAGAATTTTATTTCAAATAAATTTCATTGCCATTACATTATCTGGCATCTCTGTATAATACCCTTAGAATGCAGTACTTCAAGTTGAAGTGTCAAAAGGATGAATAATGTGGACATGAAGAAACATGGAACTTCAAATAATATACACATATCCTGAGCACATTAAGCTAAGTTGTGAAATATACAGTTGATTGCTGGTTATCCTACATTATTACATCTCTACCAGATATATGAAAATGAAGCTTTGGACACATATGAGATATTTAATGTTTCTTATGTTTTCTTCTATTAAGCATTTTAACATTAACATATGTTTAAATATGCTAATAAAACAGCATACATCGGGGGTACATTATTTATACTTGGACTTGTACTCAGGAGGGTAACACATAGGATCATGAGTTCAAATGTATCCCTGACTAATATCCCTGAAATTGAAGCCAAGCTGGATAATAAACACCATTTCAATGAAATTTGTGCAAATATGAAAAACAAAAACAGGAAAAAACAACTGACCACCCTTTCATAGATACACTTACTTGAAAAGTATGACCACACACTGCCTGATATTTAAATAAACAATGGACCACTTAGATGATGGGCATCCCATTTTATACATTATAGCAGAAAAATACCTATTACTAAGTGAAAACACAACAGATGATGAACAGGAGTCAAAGAAAGAATATAAGAACAAAAATAAAAACTTTACTAAATGGATTTGCCACACATACAGCACACTTTAGTATCTACCTCAAATGGTGCAAAATAGAAACCACAATGCAGTGATCTCCACTATCTATCTTGAGTGAACATGGCAAATATTATTTACTTCCTTCTAGGCTATGATGAAAAAGAGATGAAGCAAGATTTTTTTTCTTGAAACTGAAGACAACTATGATGCCTAAAGTCTTTACCAATCCTTTTACCTGAATCAGATTTTTCTCTTGTATGAATTATTTCCTATTTTCTGACATCAAGATGATATATGAAGGTTTTAAAATACTTCCAGGGTGAGAGACATAGCCAAGCAGTTAAGAGAAGTTGATTCCCAAGATGAAGGTCAGGTTTTTAACAACTTCCTGTAATTCCTGCTAAAAGAAGATCCAAGTGTCTAAATTTCTTAGGAACCAGGAAGCATATACCCACACAAAGACACACTGAGATCACATAATTAAAATTAAAACAAGTATTTTAATAATCAGATTTTCACTCAATATTTTTTTCCCTTGTAAGTATTTATTACTGTAACCCAGGTGCTGAAGCATCAAAAGGCTTATTTACAGAGTTTTTCTTCATCATGAACTGATTTATGTAACAGAAAGCAAGCAGAGCAAGCATGTAGGTTTGCAGTCAGAGAAATCATTCTTTCTCAGTTGGTGGTATCATTTGAGAAGATTTAGGTAATGTGTGCCCTGCTGGAAGAAATAAGTCCCTGGGAGTGAGCATGAGAGTTCACATCCACACACTATTTCCAGTTCCCACTTTCACATTCATGCTGCAGGTGGAAGATGTGAGTTTTTAATTTTCTGCTTTAGCTGCCATGTTTGACACTTGTTGCCATGCCACTTTCATGGTGATCCTGCATCCCTCTGCAACCAAGGGCTCACTCATGAGTTGACTAAGGCATAATGCTCTATCACAGCAACAGAAAAGGCACTAATACACATACATTAAGTTTTACAACTGGATATGTATTTCATGTAATAAAAGAACTGTGGAATATAAAGGGATTACCTCATTATTTAAATTCATGTCTTTTGTCCATATGAACTTACAAGTGCAAACAAAACAAAGAGGGACATCGTAATTCTTGAAGAGATTGGTGAAACTTGTCAGTTTTTTTCTCCAGCATAATCTTGTGTAACTGAATTAAGACTGGGAAAGAACTTATCAAATCCTTTATAACAAAATTTCCTTCAGTATTAGTTTTTCAGGTCCTTAAAGACCACTGTAAAATGAAAGGCTTTAACAAACCAATTACACACTAAAAGTTTTACTCTTATATAAACATTAACATAAAGTGTACACTCACTACATTTATAGGCTTTCCCTGTAGTATGATTTTTCATGATTTCAAAGACTGCTGATTCATGCAAAGGCTTTACCACATTGATTACATACATAGGGTTTTTCTCCAGAATTTGTTTTTCATGCATTTGAAGATTACCATGTTGTGAAAGCTGAGATAGCAAGTCAAATTCCATTTTAAAGAAAACTTCATTTCTAGCAATACTAAGACAAAAGCTGAACCAAGTTCCAGAGACATAAATACCAAGCTAAGATTCCGGTCAAGGTGAATCCCAACTCCCCAGGGTGGGTAGGCTGCTGGCCAAGAAATAGCTAAAACAAAGGCTTAATTCATCAAAGTCTCCAATAGTACTGGGAAAGTATCCAAAGATATTTTGTCTTCTGTAGTTCTTCTCTTGGCTAAATGTTCCTGTTAACTGAAGTATGACTCTGAAATGCAAAGGCTTGTACTCCCAAGCTTGTGGTTTTTTTCCTTTAAGAACCCCTCACTCTGAGAGCTCAGGGCCTTACTCCTTCACCTGCATAGGCAGGGTGTTGGACAAGGAACAAGCCTGGGCTTGCTTACTATCAACAAACCCTTTTGTACTTGCATCAGATATTGGCTCTCTGGTGGTCTTGCTTGGGGTTCTTGCAACATGGGCACAACAAAGCCTTTATCACACTGATTACATTTATAAAGTTTCTCTCCAGTAGTGTGTTCTTTTATGTCTTCGGAGATGATTGTGTAGTGAAAAGTCCTTACCACACTGATTACATTTGGAGGGTTTCGCTCCAGCAATGTGTTCTTTCATGCATTTGAAGATTACTGTGTTGTGAAAAGGCTTTACCACATTGATTACATTTGTAGGGTTTCTCTCCAGAATGTGTTCTTTCATGTATTTGGAGATGACTGTGTCTTGAGAAGTCTTTATCACATTGATTACATTTGTAGGGTTTCTCTCCAGTATGTGTTCTTTTATGTGTTTGGAGAGCACTGTGTTGTGAAAAGCCTTTCTCACATTGATTACATTTGTAAGGTTTCTCTCCAGTATGTGTTCTTTCATGTCTTCGGAGACTATTGGCACATACAAAGGCTTTACCACATTGATTACATTTGTAGGGTTTCTCCCCAGAATGTGTTCTTTCATGCATCTGAAGATTACTGTTTCGTGTAAAGGATTTATCACATTGATTGCATTTGTAGGGTTTCTCTCCAGTATGTGTTCTTTCATGTATTTGGAGATGACTGACACATGAAAAGTCTTTACCACATTTATTACATTTGTAGTGTTTCTCTCCAGAGTGTGTTCTTTCATGCATCTGAAGATAACTGTTTTGTGAAAAGGCTTTACCACATTGATTACATTTGTAGGGTTTCTCTCCAGAGTGTGTCCTTTCATGCATCTGAAGATGACTGTGTTGTGAAAAGATTTTATCACATTGATTACATTTGTAAGGTTTCTCTCCAGAATGTGTTCTTTCATGTTTTCGGAGACTATTGGCACATATAAAGGCTTTACCACATTGATTACATTTATAGGGTTTCTCTCCAGTATGTATTCTTTCATGTATTTGGAGATGATTGACACATGAAAAGTCTTTATCACATTGATTACATTTGTAAGGTTTTTCTCCAGAATGTGTTCTTTCATGCATGTGAAGATGACTGTGCTGTGAAAAGGCTTTATCACAATGATTACATTTGTAGGGTTTCTCTCCAGAATGTGTTCTTTCATGTCTTCGGAGACTATTGGCACATGTAAAGGCTTTACCACATAGATTACATTTATAGGGTTTTTCTCCAGAATGTGTTCTTTCATGTATTTGGAGATGACTATGTTGTGAAAAGTCTTTATGACATTGATTACATTTGTAGGGTTTCTCTCCAGAATGTGTTCTTTCATGTATTAGGAGAGCATTGTGTTGTGAAAAGGCTTTACCACATTGGTTACATTTATAGGGTTTCTCTCCAGAATGTGTTCTTTCATGCATATGAAGATGACTGTGTTGTGAAAAGGCTTTATCACATTGATTACATTTGTAGGGTTTCTCTCCAGTATGTGTTCTTTCATGTATTTGGAGACTACTGGCACATGCAAAGGCTTTATCACATTGATTACATTTGTAGGGTTTCTCTCCAGAATGTATTCTTTTATGTATTTGGAGAGCATTGTGTTGTGAAAAGGCTTTATCACACTGATTACATTTGTAAGGTTTCTCTCCAGAATGTGTCCTTTCATGTATTCGGAGACTACTGGCACATGCAAATGCTTTACCACATTGATAACATATGTAGGGTTTCTCTCCAGAATGTGTTCTTTTATGTATTAGGAGAGCATTGTGTTGTGCAAAGGCTTTATCACATTGATTACATTTGTAGGGTTTCTCTCCAGAATGTGTTCGTTCATGCATTTGAAGGTGACTGTGTTGTGAAAAGGCTTTATCACATTGATTACATATGTAAGGTTTTTCTCCGGAATGTGTTCTTCTATGTATAAGGAGAGCATTGTGTTGTGCAAAGGCTTTACCACATTGATTACATTTGTAGGGTTTCTCTCCAGAATGTGTTCTTTCATGAATTTGAAGATGACTGTGTTGCGAAAAGGCTTTATCACATTGATTACATCTGTAGGGTTTCTCTCCAGCATGTGTTCTTTCATGTATTTGGAGATTACTGACATATGCAATTCCTTTACCACATTGACTATATTCATAGGGTTTCTCTCTTGTATGTGTTCCTTTGTATCTTTGGAGACTACTGGCACATAAAAAGGCTTTACCAGACTCAGAACATTCATAGGGTTTCTCTCCAGTATGTGTTCTTTTATATATTTGAAGATGATCATGACTTGGAAAAGCTTTACCACACTGATTACTTTCATTGGTTTTCTTTCCAGTACATGTTTCTTTATGTATTTGGAGACTACTGTTGTGTGCAAAGGCTTCAGGATATTGAATACAATCATAGGGCTTCTCTTCAGTATGAATACTTCCTTGCTTCTGAAGATGACTGTGATATGAAAAGGCTTTTGCACACTGAGTAAATATAGAGGCTTTCTCTCCAGTATGATAATTTATGTACCTGTAAAGATAATTGGCACATGTAAAAGCTGTATCACATTCATGAATATTTATATCTGTATGACCTAATTATAATTTGTCCTAATATTTAAGACAAATAAGATCTTAAAGTTTACACTCATAGTCTCCCCCTTAGAGTAGAGTTGTTTTGTGTGTTTGAAGGTATCTATAATGGTAAGAGCCTTTATTACAGGGTCCACATTTGTAGCATCATATTTCTATATGAGATTCCTCACATATTTGAAGAGAACTGGAAGAACTCAGAGGTTTAACATACTTCTTGCATTCATAAATTTTCAATAGTGAGAGTAATATTCCATTTGAAAAGTAAACCAGGAAAAACAGACATATTTATACATTCCAATAATCATAGAACTTTACTGCAGCAAGAATTTGTTGTTGTATTCCCAATGAAGTTGGAAAACCAATTAATTTAAAACTTGTATCACATTCAAAAATTATACTCCAAGTGGGGACTACTACAAATCTTCTAATTGCTCTGTGTGACAGAGAGAGTTATGTTGCTTCCTTCCATATCTCTATACTCACATGGCTTGTATCCAGAGTGACATATGATATACTGATAAAGGAAGACTAACAAATAAAATGTTTCCACACTGCATTCACACAGCTTGACTTTCTGTTCCTCATAAAATGGGGATTAAGTTTTCTCCACGACAACTTTTTTTAACTGTCATAAACTCCCTCTCACTAAACTTATAAAAATCACAAGTATATGAGTAACACTAGTTTACTCTGAACTATTTGCATATTAGAACGTTTTGGATATATACTTATCACCTATTCAACATGTATACCTTTTATAATATTTGAGTGGCATTAAATTAAACAGATTGGCTGTTCTATAGCAGAGCTATCATGGAGCTGTAATTCAAATGGGGATATCAGTCAAGACATTGTTCCCCTGTGTTCTTTCTTAGAGAAATGTCTTGCAAACATGTATCAGCTCCCTGACATTGAGATATTTGGTTTTGCGAGAATTTAAGAATCACTAGTACACTTTAAAATGTGCTTATTTAGCCGGTAGTGGTGGCGCATGCTGGTAGGATTTGCTGAAGGAGGCGGAGGCAGGAGGATCATGAAAATGTGCTTGTTTATACTCTTGCTTTTGTTTAAAACTTCCAGGACACTTTAAAATTTCTCCTTAGGCACATTTGTATCATCTTACACATGAAAAGTACCTTCCATTTCTTCCAGAACTTTGACAATGTTCTTCAATATTATGGTCTTCCCAACTGTAGCCTAAAATACAGTACCAGAAAATGAATGATATATTATGGGAAACTGTGCAAAATTTAAGTTACTATCTTCATTGAGCCTTAGAACCATGCCAGATTTATTCCCCTCATTCTTCTTCTTTTGCAATCAAAATTACAGAAGAGTATCAATAACCAAGGAAGAGCTGTCCCCTTATTTTAAATGTGATGGAAAATTCAGTCTTACCTATAGCAGTGAGGCTCTTGTAGGTCTCTTGCATCACATCTTTGTAGAGATTCTTCTGGGAAGAATCCAGCAAAGTCCACTCCTCCCAAGTGAAGTTGATATGCACATCATCATAGGTCACTGCAGTCTAAAATATCCCACACATGTGTACAACAGAAAGTGTGATACTGACAGCATGCTGATTTATACTTCTTTGACAATATATTTGTATAATTCTAGGGCTCCCCACACTTATCCCATGACACAGAAGTTCTAATCATCAACTCAAAACTGAACAATGAGGTTCACACCTGTCATTTCTAAACATTTTGTCTAGGATATAGGCAGAAGAAATGCCTATAAAGAGACATAAAGAGAGAGGCAAGCAAACAGATAAAAGTACGTATCTGAGAAATTGAATGAACAATCACTAACTACAAAAAAGATGGGCAGGCTGGGTGTATTGGCTCATGCCTTTAATTCTAGCACTCAGGAGGCAAAGTCAGGTGAATTTAATTGAGTTGCATGACAGCCTGGCCTATGCAGTGATTTTCAGGATAGCCAGAGTTACATATTAGTATCAATCACCCTGACTCCTCCATAAAAAATAAATTGTACAAAAAAGGTAGAAAGAACTCACAAGTTTTATGGAAGTTTCTACAAAGAATTATGCATACATTCAAATTCTGTTTTCATTTTCCAGAAACCAGTTTAAACTATAACAAAAATAAGATCTTACTAAAAGGGAATGCATCTTTAAAGTTATAAATGAACAGACGGAAACATTAGCAATGTAAATGTTGATCATAAATAAACAACATAGACAGTGGAGATGGCTCTGCATTTAAGAGCACTTGCTGGTCATGCAAACAGGTGGGCTCAATTGCTAGTTTTACATGGGGGCTTACAACTATCCATTACTACAAGTTCAGGGATTGTAAGGCCATCTTCTGATTGCTGTGAGAACCAGGCACACATGTGAATATCCATGTATATAGGCAAAAGAGGCATATTCATTCAAAAGAATTCAAAATAAATACAATAGGTAGGAAGAATGTCACACAGCTGCAATTGTATGACTCAGAAGGCTCAGGCAGTTTTAATGTCATGATTACTGCCATCCTGGGAAAAAGAATGATACACTCTGCCAGATTTCAAAATTCAAGATGTGGGTGAAGCTCAGCAAAACAGCATATGCTTGAAATGTACAAAAACCTACACTTGTGTCTTGCATCACATCTTTGTAGAGATTCTTCTGGGAAGAATCCTGCCAAGTCCACTCCTCCCAGTATCACACTTTCTGTTGTACACATGTATGGGTGTTGTCGTGATCCTATTTGTTTCTCTGAGGCCTGGAGAGTAAAATGATCCCATTCCAGTGTTGGTGGCCCATCACACAATAATATAAAAACAAAAAGACCCAGGGATGATGGCCCACATTTAATCATAAGACATGGAAGCCAGAGTAATTTGGATCTCTGAGTTCAGGCCAGCCTGGTTTATACAGCTACTTACAGGACAACCAGGGCTACACAGAAAAACCTTGCCTTCAAAACAAAAACAACAAAATTGACAAAAACTCAGGTTACAAAAACTCAGGTTAGCACTGAATATCAATTGTTTCAACTATATCTTACAGGATTTAGTGATACCATGTATAGCAGTGGTATAAGACATGACAGCCAGTCACAAAGAACATGAGCTAAGGACAAGGGCTGTGGAATACTCAGGTGACTGGGCTATACCAGTGCCTGTGCTGGCTGGGAAGATGTCTGCATGACTGTGCTGTGGTGTGGGTCTGGTGGCTTGCTCATTGTGGACATTGTTGTTGGGGTTGGGGAAACAGTTGCAGTGTCATTTTCCTGAGTCTCAGATAGGACTTTGCTGTGAACAGTTTTCCTCAGGGTGGCTGTGGTTGGTGAAGAGGTGTTTGTAACTGCCAAACTTGTCATGGGTAAAGTTTGTTTGTGTCAGTGACTTTGTCTAGTGTTAGTGAGAGTGGAGTTAAAGCTGACTTCTCAGGAAGAGTGGGTGTCCCAGTTCCAGATGATGGGATGGTATCCTCTGGTGTGCTTAATGGTGTTGAAGGTGTTGTCGTGATCCTATTTGTTTCTCTGAGGCCTGGAGAGTAAAACAATCCCATTCCAATGTTGGTGGACTTTGGTGGCAATGGAGTTGTACCTAGAAGCATGCTAATAACATCAGAAACTGTCTGCTGTGACTGGGAAGGTGTCTGTGTAGCTGTTCTGTGGTATGTGTCTGATGTCTTGCTCACTGTGGGGGTTGTTGCTTGGGTTGGGGGTACAGCTGCATAGGAAATGGGTTGATGCTAAAGACACTCAAATCCCTCCCCTAATGAGGAATTTCATTCAGAAAGACTTCTCCTACTAAAAATTCCACAAGCACCCAAAAGAGAGCCACTATAGAGAGACAAGTATTCAAATACATCATCCTATCTGGGTGGGTTTTAATTCAAATGAATACATTCTGACCAAAGTCATTATAGGCTTATGGTCACCCCATGATCTAAATGCATTTAGTCTACCTTCAATGATCCTCATAGTCTTCAACAGAACCTACCCTTTCAAATGTTCAAGGTCTCTTTGGACACTTAAGGTTACCACTTGACTGTTAGCTTGTAAAATCAGAAAACATGTTACATCTTTCCAACATACACTGGCACAGAATATCCATTCCCATTCCCATAGATGAACTGGAACACAGTGAGGGAAGACTGGACCAAGGCAAGACTGAAAATCAGTAGGGCAAACACCTAATCTTACAGTTCTGTCTCAGACATATGGGGCTTCCGTTTCAAAGCTTAGGTGTCTCATTTTCCTGAAATTTCTCATATATCTCTTTGGCTACTTCCATTCCCTATATGCAGCTCTCCATGGCAGATGTCTCACAGCTTTGGTATCTCAACATCCTGTGATCTCCAAATGCAACCCAGGCTTCATGCTCAAAGCTTCAAACAATGAACTTTCACAGGATCCTCACTGGGCCAATGACTCTGCCAACCATAGATGACTGTAAGAATGCCAAACTGAAACCACAGACCAGGAATCTAAGACCTGAAATTTTGATTCTTTCTTGTTTCCAGAGCCAGCACAAGTTTGGCTTCTTAATTGAGATGGACCTTGCAGAGACTGGACTACAGCTGCAGCAGGTTTTATATGAAGCTGATTCTGGGTGATAGGAATCACTTTGTCTAATCCTTCCATTAATTGAAGGCTTAACCTGCTGTCATTACAGAACCTAGTTAGGCTTCCACTGTAGAAAAAGGGCCTTCTCTTTAATGGTGATCTCCTTGAAAATCCCTGCCTCTGTTTCAGCACATGACTGCCGTCTGAAACTACCTTTTGTTGTCATTTATTTCTGCCCAACTTGTTGTTTTTCTTCACTGTAGATCTGAATGAGTCATCAGTAATAAGCATCCAACAGATTCAATATTCCATCTAAGAAATCAGCCCCATTACTTTTTAATTTTACCTCACTCAATTTCTCAGGGCAAGGGCAGAATAAGAAAGATTTTAGGCCAAAATAAGACACAAATGACCTCTAGCTTAATTTTTCATGAAGTCTATTTCCCACTTAAATCCTATGACACTGACCTCCTCTGTATGCATTACTCTCAAAAGTCCCATCTTCCCCATCCTGCAAGACCAACCAAATGAGCTCTGTGTGAGCTTTCTATGACTTCTGCTATTTAAGTCCTGATATCCTCTACATTCCTCTAAAAGACATCATTCCCAGGTTCTTCCCAGCAACACAATCACTTTTGCTGTTCCATTTTATTTTTGTTCTAACTTGCTTTTCTGTTTCTGTAATTAAATCCTCTCATCAAAATCATCTCAGAAAAAAAAAATCATCTCAGGTAAGTTTATTTAGCTGATTTTGTTAAATCACAATCCATCATTGTGGGAGCTTGGAACAGAACATGAAGGTAAAAACCATGGGCAAACATTAGTTCCTGGGCTTCTCACTTGCTTTGTCACTGTCCTGTGTTCAGCTAGCTCTCCTATCCATCCCAGGCCAACTTGCCTAGATATTGCCAACTCATTGGAAGAACCTTTCCACATCAATCATCAATCAACACAATCTCTTACAGACACAGAAGTTCCTGAGTATTATGAATAAAGCAGCTTTGAACATAGTTAAGCACATGTCTTTGTGGCAGAATGGAGAAGCATTTGGGGGGTATATGCCAAGAGTGGTATAGTTGGGTTTTGAGGTAGATAGATTCCCAATTATCCGAGGAACTGCCATGATGATTTCCTTAGTGTCTTTACAAGTTTCATTCCCACCAGCAGTGGAGGAGAGTCCCCCTTGTTCCACATCTTGGCCAACATGAGCTGTCACTTGTGTTATTGATTTTAGCGATTCTAACAGGTGTAAAGTGAAATACCAAAGTAATTTTGATTTACATTTCCTTAATGGCTAGGGATGTTGAACATTTCCTTAAGTGTTTCTCAGGCATTTTAGATTCCTCTATTGAGAATTCTGTTTAGATATGTACCATATTTATATTTGGATTATTTGGTTTGTTGATGTCTAGTTTCTTGAGCTGTTTATTATCCTGAGTGAGGCAACCCAGAACCACATAGAAAAACATATTTACTCACTTGTAAGTGGATATTAGTTGTCAAGTTAAAAATAACCACAGTACAATCCACAGACTCAGAGAGGCTAAGTTACAAGGATGGCTGTAGAGGCAGAGGAATGCATGGATCTCCCTGGGAAGATATAAATAGATTTTGTGAGTGGACTGGGAGCAGGAACAGAAAATATCAAGTAAGAGAGGGACAGAGGGAGAGAATATAGAAAAGGTGAGTACAATAGGGGAGCTCTTAGGAGATGATGTGGAAACCTAGTATGGTAGAAACTTTCTAGAAGCTATCAGGGTGATCCTAATGAGGACTCCAAGTATTTGAGAACATGGAGTCTGACTGGCCATCTTCTATATCCATGTAAGGTCCCCAGTGGTGGGAATGGGACACCAACTGAGCCACAAAAATATTCAACCCACACTAACCCTGTCTGCAAGATATTCTGGGGCAATGGTGTCTCAGAGTTTGTGTAGTAACCAACCAATTACTGGAGTAACTTGAGGCCCAAGACCAAAGAGGGAGCCCATGCTCAACACTGCTTGGATGAACAAGAACCAGAAGTTGGATGGTTCAGAGAACTAGTGTAGAACCAAATACAACTGACCAAAAAGAAAAAAAAAAGTCTATGAATTGATATCTGACTATATTCTGCTATTATCATAGATTAGTGCTTAGCCCAATTGTCATCAGAGAGGCTTCCTCATGTAGCAGATGGTAGCAGATGAGAGATCCTCATCCAAATATTAGATGGAGCTCTGGGAACCCTGTGGCAGAAGGGAGGACTATAAGGTCCAGAGGTGTCAAGGACACCAGAGAACACTTCTCACAGCATCAAGTAAGCAGGGACCATAGAGGCTCAAAGAGACTGAAGCAGCAATCATGGATCCTACATAGGTCTGTGCCATGTCCTTTCTGTACATGCTTTGGTTATTTACCTTGGTGTGTTTGTGGGAGTAAGGGTGTCTCTGACTATTCTCCCTACTCTTGGATCCTTTTGCTCCTCTTGGGTTGCCTAATTCAGCCTTGACATGAGGGTTTGTGGCTAGTTTAATTGCATCTTACAATGAAGTATTTGGTTGATATACCAACAGGAGCAGTGGATCTGAAACAGTGGGAAGGCTATGAGGACTAGAAGGTATGGAGGAATGGGAGACTGAGGTCAGGATGTAGTATATGAGAAAAGAATAATTAAATAAGAACAAAGAACAACAGCAAAAAATAAATGAACATGCATTTAATCTAACTTTAATAATCTTTATAGTCTATAACAGCCACAACACTGTTCAAATGTCCAAAGTCTCTTCTGATACTCAAGATAACCTCTTAAATGTGAAATATTCTAAAATAAAGTAACAAGTTAAAATTTTGCAACATACAATGGCACAGGAGATATTCTCATTCAGAAAAAGAGAAATTAGGCCAGGTTCTAGCACCCAACTCAGGAAGATAGCCCATGCCCATGTGCAGGCCACATCAGCCAGAAGAACAGGCAGGACACCAGCCCATGGAACTTCCCAATTCTTTTTGTTCCCACCAACACAATCCCCCATGCAGGGTGTTTACCCACCAACTCCACAGCTCCCTAGAGTTTTCTTGAGTGCAAGCAGCAGGAAATATTAGGTAAAAGGATTTAGATTGTGGAGATAAACAGATAGAAAATAAAGGGTAGCCTCTAGAGGGCCTGGAACCTATTCCAATGGTTAGGAATATAAATATCCTGACTGTCTCTGCCCCAGGATATTTATAGAGACACCAAGGGGTAGAGCAAAAGACCCCCCCGCCCCGCCCAGCACAGCCAAGTGCAGACCATCTCAGACACTTGCACTCAGGCCTGTGGTCCTAATCATCCTCTCTATGCAGATCTGCTGAGTAAAGCCATGAGAAACCTGATAATGGGCTCCCACACCCCCACCAACCCTCCAGCCACCAACCTTATTGCCATGTCTCTACCCCCAACTTGAACATCCTCTTGTAGCCAGAAGTTTTGACTAGTCCTGCCAGACCCCTGCAGTCCCATGGCTTACTTATAAAATAATCACTCAGAGGTTTATATTAATTATAAATGCTTGGCCATTAGCTCAGGCTTATTACTGACTAGCTCTTACACTTAAATTAACCCATAATTCTTATCTATGTTTGGCCACATGGCTTGATACCTTTTCTCAGTTCTACCTTGTCATCTTCCTTCCTCTGTGTGTGGCTGGAGACTCCTCACTCAGCCCTTCCTGTTCCCAGAATTCTCCTCATTTGTTCACCCCACCTAACTTCCTACCTAGCTACTGTCCAATCAGTGTTTTATTAAACCAGTGTACAAAAGCATTATCTCACAGCATTCCCCCTTTTTAGTCTAATTAAAAAGGAAGGTTTTAATTTTAACATAGTAAAATTACATATAATGCAACAGTTATCAAGCAAGAATTACAGTTAACAATATCTAGTCTATTTATATTTGGCAAATTCAAAGAAAATATTCTATTTATTCTATATTTGTGAGTTTAAATTTACATATGTAGTTTATCTTTTATCATGACTAAGAAAAACTATAATTATAACTATTTAGTCTTCAACTACATCAAAGACTCCAGAAGGATACAATATTACCTAAGTAAACAGGAAGTACATTGTAAGCAACTTACAAAAATCTAGAATGACAGAGACAGCTAGCTGCCTGGACAGTCATCCAAAGTTCCTCTGCAATGTTAGGGCATCCATCTTTAGCCTATAGGTCTTGAACTTTTCAGTTGCTTCTTCCTGTGTCCTGTAAAATGTCTGGCAGTCTCCCTGTGAAGCAGGAACCTGAAGGACAATCTTGTCTTGCAATGTTCAGTGGTCACCTTTTTATGGGTCCTGCATATCCAGTTTAGACAACATACTGTCAATCAGTCAACGCAAGGGCACATTTTTGACCAGTAGCTAATTTTTGCCACAAAAAAGGCAAACTCCATAATGAGTTTCTTCAATGCCCATCTTCCTCCTTGAAGTAATTGGTGCTGCCAGGAGCAGATGTGTCTCATTGTCCAGAAAAGTCTAAGTTTTTAAAACATTTTAAATGCCATATTCTGTATGTCTTTGAAGTGTCTGAAGATTATCTACCTAATTGAAATATATCTATGTGTACCTAGAAAACTTAACTAACATGACTATAAGTTTGATTAATATGGATGATTAATTATTAATCTGTACTTCTTAATTATACATTATAATTTCAAATGAGCTGCACAAACATAATACCTTAAACAAGAGAAGAAATATACATACAATATAACAAAATTAAATTTGTATCAATAAACTAAAATCCATAGCAATGTAAAACATTTTAAACAAGTTTTTGCTCTTTAAAAGTACATTCAATAATCTACCCTTTTATCCTATCATATCTATATCCTACATTTTTATATCATATCCCCTTATCCCTTTTAGAAATAGATTGACTATGTCCGATAACAATGTAAAACCAACAATCTAAACAAAGATAAACATTCATAATCCATTTTGGGGGAATGTAGCTATAGTGTTATAGGCTACTTCCTGTCGATAGGGGGCACTGGTAGTCTTATGGAGATCCTGAGAAAATTCATGATAATGATCAACTCCTGGGAAGACTGGCTATAACCTTTGTTAATAGGTATCATCTGTTAAGGTTCAGGATGTGTGGCTTGATAAAATCTGATCCATCTTAACCTGGGACAATTCCATAGCCTCTTGCTTCCTGTGGAAACAAAAGCAGAGCCTCCTTTTCAAAGCAACATATCCTTAGATCAAAATTTTGAAGTCAAGATACCTTTAAAATATATATTGGTTTAACTTAGCAGTCTTTACAATCAAATGTCTTTCTTCAGTTAAGAATCCCCAAAACAATATAATCCAGACTCTCTGTGTGATCTGCATCTTTATCTACCTTATTTTTTATATTACTTTTACTATCTCTTTAAAGACTTTATTTTCTAAAATTATTTCTTTATATAACTGCATATATTCCTTTTTCTCTCCCTTCCAAGCCTACATACACTTTTACACACATTGTAAACCATTTAAGGTTTATGCCATCTGAAACTTATTGTGAATTTATTGCTTTAAACTGCAACTTGGCTAGTACTGAAATGGCAGATTTGGCTGCTGGCTCCACCCACCTCAGCTTCCCACCATGGCAGAACT